CTCAGCCTATGCTGAAGTTGGTTCTAGAAAGCAATGAGTCACTGCCATCTAAATTCTTTGTATGAAAGTGGAAATCAAGTAATTCCAACATTTCGTTTCACATAACACTGGGTTCAGCAGGTATTTAGAAGGAATAACAAATTTTATTTTCTTCTTTAAACATGACATAAATTAAAGCTCATCGAGTACTCCACGAGAACTAAAGCCTAACATTCTTATAAGCCGACCAAACAAGTCAGTAGAGACTGAGAGGCATGGTAAGATAATGCTGTTTCTTTGCACTTGCATTATTTTAATGCAACTATGTCATAACGCATGGCCATAGATCAGGGGTTCTCAACCTTCCTAATGCCGTGGCCCTTTCATACAGTTCCTGTGGGTTGTGACCCACAGGTTGAGAACTGCTGTTATGGATGAATTTAGCAACTGACATTCTTATTCATAATACGAATTTATTCCACATTTCACAGGGCTAGATCCAATCTCTTTGGTAAACATCATTTCCAAAACAAATGATAATTTATTTGTGACATACTCTTTTTAACATAACACTTTATTTCAGAATTTAAAGTCGGTATAGATAAACACTTCTTCAACATGATGCTGACATTGCATTGTGATCTTAGTGGGGAGTTTCCAAGTCCCCCTACTGGGTTTTCCCATATTTGGAAATATACGTAAGGTTGAATGATAAGCTGGGGGAAGCACAATAACAAGAGCCATTTGTAAGATATGCTGCCGCTTTGGTCGTACGAGGCTGTGTAGTAATGAAGTGAGCTCCCTTCTGCTGGCTTCCACTTTTCTTTCCTCTCCATCATGTGGGACGGATTATAACCGTAAGCATCAAATCAAATCAGCTGTGTACAAACAGCATGTGGAACCTTTTCTCAGTTCAGGTTTGGTAGGAGAACATGGGATATCACAGTCTCAAAACACATAACACATACTTGCTTAACACTTGAGCAAGGGCTGGCAAAGAATGGACCCCTTGGTCACACGGGGCGGGAGGCACAAGTTCTCAAGCACAGATTCCACGACACCCCGCTTCCCAACGCGGCTTTATCCCATCTATCCCCAAACCTCAGTCTCTAGCTGGGAAGCCCTTGTCACGGTCCCCAGCAGATGAAACCTCATGATACGGAGCCCCAGGTCTCCGGACATGGGCTGAATTGAAGCATGCCAAACAAGCTGTGTCCATGGGAGTGGCAGCTTGAGATTCTAAAGAGTTTTATTCTTTGTTTTACGTTATTTGTTTGTTTTTTAAGAGAGAATTTTTAGGTCCATAGCAAAACTTAGAAGAAGATACAGAGATTTCACATAGCTCTAGGTTTTTGGTTTTTTATTTGATTGTATGGAAAGCAAAATTAAATGAGGACACAGCCTTGCAGCCTTCAAGGTCACACTGTTCAGAATTGGGGCTGGATGAAATTCGATTTCCTTTCTATGTCCTCATTTCAAACCCTAGAACGTTACTCCACCCCGTCTGCCTTGGTTGTTACCCCTTACATTCGCCAGGCACCTATGCATGTTTTATTTTATTTTATTTTATTTTATTTGGCCAGGGCCAGAGCCCTACTCCTTGAGCCACAGGCGTTGCCCTATGCATGTATTTTTTTTTTTATGTGTGCAACTTTTTTTGTCCAGGGCTGGGTTTGAACACACCAACTCCAGCATATGGGGCCAGCGCCCTACTCCTTTAAGCCATTGGGGCCAGCGTCCTACTCCTTTGAGCCACAGGCACCACCCAGCCCTATGCATGTTTTATTTGAAAACATCCTAAATATCTAGAAAGTTAAAGAATGCTCAGCCCTAAGGGAGCACAGTAATTGTCAGGAAGGTTTTAGCAAAGCCTTACGGCGACTGGAGGACAAAGTCAAAACATCTAACTACTCCGGAGCTTTTAAGGACTGAAGAACTGGGAAAAATCAGATTATGTGAGAACACATTTTTTCAGGGATATATAGAGAAAAACATTCATAGAGAAAGATGATGAGTAAGCAAGCAGAAAATCACTGCGTGTCCCATGCTGGGCTAGGCATTGGAGGAACGCCTCTGAACTGGACAGTCCTTGTTAAGAAGTCCACCTATCCTTCACTTTAGTCTCACACGTACAGATCCCACATCCCTATCTTTGGATTGTTTATCCTTTTTCTTCAACTATCTAGGAAACAATTTTGATATATGAGTATGTCCAGAAGTGACCTCTGGACCTACATCAAGCTCTGGACACCCTAACAGCTTTGAGGACAGTCACCTACTAACCACCTCCGTGTGTTTCTGCTGGAGTAACGCCAAGTGCTTCCCTTAACTCCACCCGCGACACTCCTTAGAAAGCTCCAGCCAGGACAGGAAGTGGTGAGTAGCAAGCTGGGTCTCAGAAAACTGACTAGAGGTGAGATGTAAACGACAATCTGATGAAAAACACAGTCCCCTCCA